TCTTTGTGAAAATGTCAGCAATCTGTTTATTTGAAAGAACCCAGTCTAACTTATACAAATTTAAATTAACGCATTTCCTAACATAGTGTTCTTTTCTTTCAATCATGTGCCTTAATTTATTATTACCATCAGATTTCGCACACGCTATTGCTGACTTACTGTCACTGAACACACTTATTGGATACCATTTTCTTTTTATTATCAATTCAATTGACTGACTGATTGATAGCAAGGCTTGGCATGTTTCACTTAATGCGACGTATTCAGCTTGACAAGTGGAGAGAGCAACCCTTGGCTGTTTATGTGTTCGCCTAGCAATAGTATCACCAAGTAGCTGTATTACATACCCACACGTAGTCAGTGAGCCTTTGCAATCAGAGAAACTTGCATCAGTATAAGCTTGCAACTCTTGTGTTTTGCCTCTAAACGTCAAGGTCATACCTTTCGTACCCAACAAGTAACGCAATGCTCTCTGCAGCATATTCCATTTGTTCTTAGTTAGATTTAATTGATGCCTACTTAACACATTAGTAATGTACGCCATGTCGGGCCTTGTACCGTTAACTATGTGCAACAATGTTCCAACGACTTCTCTATAAGGAAAATCTTTTGTCAGTGRTACAGCAATAGTTTCTTTCTCGATTACGGAGTTGATTCGAAACCATAGGTGTTCTTTTAGGATAGGGTTTTCCTTCTAAGAATTTTTCAAGCATTTTGTCAATAAGTTTTTCCTGATCTATTCGCAAAATTTTATTTCTCCTATCTCATCGAATTCTAATTCCTAAGTACTCTTTCGGTTCACCTAAGTCTTTCATTTGCAACTCAGCTTTGAGCTTTACTTTAATTTCCAACATTTTACCTGGATGATTACCTATTTCTATTATGTCATGAACATAAACAAGTAAATGTACAAAATCATTACCATCTCTCCAGGTAAATAAGCATGGATTAACTAAATTTTTCTCAAGCCCTATTTTGAGTGCAACTTCAGTGAATTTTTCATTTCATTTCTTCGGACTTACTTTTAAGCCATACAACGATCTTTTAAGCTTGCAAACTTGATCCTTTAGCTCTTGACCTTCAGGAAGAAGTTCTTCAGRWATTTCCATATAGACTAATTGATCCAACTCACCATACAAGAAAGCAGTATCAACGTCCAATTGACACATATCAAGGTCGTAAGCATTTGCTATCGCAAATAACGCTCTTATCAATAACAATCGAGAAACAGGTGCATAGGTTTC